GGTGAGGTATAAATTACGCATACAACTCTATTCAGACTAATCTTCTTATAATTTCTCTATACCACTGTCAATAAAATAGCAGACTCAAGAATAAATGATTCATTAGGCATTTATAACTTCTTGTCTCAAGTAATTTATCTATATGATTTTAAATTACTAAAGAATCTTACGGATCTTTTCTTACTGAAGAGTTTGAGATAATCCATATTTTATTAAGTTTCAAGGACACCCCCCACACAAAGATACCCACACGCTCAAAATTAAGTAACCACTAAAATTGCTGTCAGAATTCATATATTCATAAGGGGAAAAACTAATTTCAAATTATAAAATACATTTAGTAAGGGACCAGCAGTTAGCATAATGGCTATGTCGCTGGACTCCCATGTAGTCGACCATGGTTCGAGTCCCAGACATGGTGGCTTGAACTCACACCACCAGGCATGTGTGCATGTGTGCCCAAGATCCCTAGAGGAGAATGGAGGAGAAGGGATTGCGGCGTGGCCATCCCCCCTGGGGGGTGATTTCTCGCTTTCTGTCTCTCAGTCTCTCTCTCTCTTTCTGGTGAGCACACACGTCCTATAGCAAAAAACCTCTCTGAAAACAAAAAATACACTTAGCGAACCATTCATCTTTTTTTCATCTCTTACACAAAAACTGGTAATTATAAAGAGTTGAAATGATCTATTTTAATTATCAGAAACAATGGAAGACTAATTTTGAGTCTTTTTAAAATTAAATGTCCTCCCTGTAGCTTTACTAAAAAAAAAGAGACACAACTATTCTTCAAGTTGTTATGGTGATTTCCTACATCGTTCCCTAAATAAAAACTTGAGCTAGCTAAATATTAAATTATTGAAATTACAAATCTTTTAATCTATAGCACATTTTAATCATTTGTGTAATTTGAAAATTCACTTTCATTTGATTGACTGTTTTAATCTTCTTTAACTAGTGAGTAACTGAAAATAAATGGTGCAGTCCTAGTACTATAAATATGAAAAATAGGAAGTACTTAAAGGACTGCAGGCGAATGCATTAAAATCAGTCAGTTTTCTAGTTAACATATTCCCATTCTGTTTGTGTACAAACCCACTGCATTGAGAAGACAGATCACAAATCCATGGCCTCACAAAAACATCGTCCCAATTTTATGTTATGACAGCAGAAATTGGCCCAAATCTCTAACTGTTTCCCCTAAAGGACCCAGACTGGCTGGTGCACCCAGGTGCAGCACGGACTGAATGAGGGGAACATCACGTCAAATTCCACTCATCTGTCAGTGTAGTGAATTATTCCTTGAGAGACTAAAATTGGCTGCTTGCGATCAGAACACCATCAATCTTACTGTGTAAGGGACAGAAAAGCTGGCGAGGGGGTGGGGGGTAGCCATTCCTAAGCAGGTGAAGAGGCAGTTGTAAAGCCTTCACTCTCCCTCCATTCAGGGCTCTGAGTGAAAGATTTGTCATTTTCCACATTTCCTAGATCCTTGGTATGCATGTAGAGTCTGCCTGCTCATGCTTTATGAAAGAGGTGATTTTTCAAGCTTAGGCAAATGTGGCAAAGCTTGGGGTCTGCTAGTGTCTCATTTTTTCTTATCATGTCATTTGTTTTAACCGATTTGAGAAAATGAGATTATGTTTTTCCTTTTTTGCTCATTTATCCAGCTATTTCTTTATTTATTTGCTCATTTAGGGGTGGATTGTCACAGATAACTGGCCCTTATTTCTCTCTTGTTTTCATACACATTTCATTAGTGTCCCTGAAGATTTAAGACCCACAAAGGAAAATGTCACAAGTCCCATTCCCAAAAGCCTATTTTTACTTTTAAAATCAAAACACAAGATGGTATTAAAGAGTCTGACTGAAATAATCTAGAATATTGTTATGACCAAGAGTTATCACTTTAATTTTTGAAGCTATTGTTGAAAACCCAAGGAAGATGAATAAGAACATTACATAGAACCACTGGACTTTCAGTTTAATATCATTTAATATTTTTGCATCTCAAAGGGGAAATGTATAGCTTTTTATTTTAACAATGAAGCTGAAATAGGTCTCAAATGTATAAGCACTTAGGGTTGAAATTGGTTTCAGTGCTGTTGTTTCTTGGGATATTTGAAGTATAGATTAACTATGCATTGGTGATAATAAGCAAATTTTAAGGAAACACAAAGAAAACAAAAATTGAGCTTAATTCCAATCAGAACCTAATGATGTGTTTATTGGTTTAAAATATGGTATTTTAATAATAAGCCCTATAAAAGCATGAGTTTAAGTAAAATACAAGGAGACTTCAAGAAGTCTGTAGGAAATGGAATTAAAGTACAAATGTTGGTGCAAAAATTCTTTTGAAATCCATGTGTTTGATAATATTTTCTGTTAACTTTTTGAAGATGCCTAGTAGCCATAACCCCAACCAAAAAGCTTATGTGCTAATTAATTAATAAATACAAACTATGTGAAAGCCTATTGTAAACTGTATGGTATATATACATTTCAGGATATATAGAATGTAAAATAAGACACATACTAGGTCTAACCACATACCTCATAGTTGAAAAACAACAAGAAAGAAAAAAAAATTGGATTTTTATCCTGGCTACATGGATAATTAGCTTTAAGAACACAAAATCTTCACTCATTCAACATTTTTGACTTACAAGTCTGTAGTCTGTTTTGCAGGGATGTCAGTAAGGCAGATATTCATGAAGAACTTTACAGTTTACAAAGTATACCAAAGGAAGTTGTTTTATTTGCAACCCACCACATTCTCAGATGGGATATTGGGCTCAGAGAAGAAAAGTTGCTTGCCCAAGATAATGTCACTAACATTAAGTGGAAGAGAAGGTGGACAGGCCTGAGTTCCCCCAGACCCCTTATCAGAGGCCACTTACCAGCTGTGCTATGGCCACCTTCCAGAATGGGTTTGCAGTTTTCACAGATGGGAAAGGGGCTCACAACTCCACCAGACTATGATCCATCATCACGCTGTGTCCCAAGAAGCATTTTTTTTCCCCTCCGGAGGATACAACTCTGGCAGTAGAATCAGACCCACCCACCTTCCAAAGGCCACTGTTTGGTGTATGTCCTCAGATGGGTCACCCAACCCCTCAGAACATCCATTTCCTGGGTAAAGGGAGGGGGTCATTACACACTCTAGCATTAAGGATTAAGCCAAACAATGTGAATTAACCCTGAGAACCATACATAAAATACTCACAAATAGTATTTGTTTTTATTATTACGAGTTATTATTGAGTATTACAATGAATGAAAAATTCCTCTGTTATTTCTATGACTATATAACAAATCGAAGACATTTTTGCCAGAAGAAACTGATGAATAACATATTGTAGTTAAGGTTGGAGTCCCCACACCCACATTTTGTTTCCTTCCACCTAGGTACTGGAGTTTTTGGATCTGGCGGTTCCAGCTCCAGTGTCTGTACACAGTATGCAAAAATGCAAGCGCGCTGCAAGAGGCTATGTGGGTTTCCATGTCCACCTGCAGTGGCACCAGCGCCCCTCGCCTTTCTGCCCCGACCCAGGGCATGGGAAGAGGGTAACTGGGATACAGAGGTAGCCCCCAGCCTCAGCTTCCAGCCCATTCCACTCCCTCAGCCCACTCCACTCCTTCAGCCCTCCTCCCTTAGCGGCCAGGCTCTGGCGCTGAGCAGGCTTGCGCGCTTTCCTGCAGCTTGGTGCTGCGGCGCGAGAGGACCCCGGACTGCACCCGTGCTCTGCAGAGCCTGCCCCCAGCCCAGAATCAGAGATCCGGAAGGCAAGAAGGGGCTCCCGTGGAGGTGTTGCTCAAGGACTGTGCCCAAGGCAATGGGATGGTGTCCAGACTGGCTGGCCTTGGAGCCGAGGCGTTGATGCTGGACCACACCGCAGGCTTTCAGCAGAAAGCTAGCCCGGTGGATGGGAGGGGCCAGGGAGGGATTAGAAGAGGGGTCGGATGGCTGCTAGCACTTCAGAGCTGAGGGTCAGCAAGTTGGACATGCAACTGGTCCCCAGAGGTCGAACTTGACCGTCAGCTGGGGGTGGAGGGAGGGCCATGGAGAGTAAAAGCGGGGAGAGGAGGTGGAGTAAAAGGATGCAAAGGCTGAAGCTAAACAGAAAATGGAGGGACGTACAGAAGAATCAAACTGGGAGGGTCTGCAAAGAGAAAGCTGGAGAGGCAGGAAAAAAAGGAAGGAAAAAAGGAAGGAAGGAGGGAGGGAGGGAAGAAAGAAAGGAAGGAAAGAAAAAATCTTTATTGAAGAGTAAGTTCATGGAAGGTTGAGAAACTTTGAACGGAAAGATGAAGACAACAAAATGCTTCCGGAACTAAAACGTCAACATGGGGTGGGGGGGGATGAGGCCAAAAGGAACTTATTCCTGAAACTCCCAGAAAAAGAGAAAAAAGCTACTGAGCACACTGGAAGACCACAAAGTAAAGAAAGAGAAAGGAAAGGAGGCAAATTTAACCAACCGAGAAATTGTAAGTTATGTTTTAATTTTTTTTTCATTGACAACTTGCTTTCAAAGTTAATTTGGGGATGAACACCCCAACATCCTTAGCCACAAACACAGATTATAGCATCTATATAAAACACCATCCCAGAAATAGATGCACTAAGATGATATTTTGCCTTCCTAAGAAAGCCTCAACATCTTGAAAGTTATCTCACCTTTTGCAGAATATTTTGCTATAGGCCTAAGCACTCAGAAACAAATGCCTTCTGCTTTTCAGAGTAGGAGGAAAGAGGTGGGGAGCTGGAAGGGGAGACACAGAGGGAAGTCCACCTTTCCTGAGGAAATTAATTAAAAAAAAACTCTAGGGCATTGTGGTACACCTCCCTGTCCCCAGAGCATCCAGCCAGCACCAAATCACCATATCTTAGAATTCAGAGGCAGCTGCCCATACTACAGTATTTTCTGTAACTTCCACAAAGCCATCTGCTAAGGAGACAGGTGAGACTGGAGGAGGCTGCAGTGGAGCCGGCTCCGACTTACCTGGTCTGTGCAGGTGCTGCTGCTGGAATGTATGCTGAAGGGATCCATGGCAGAGTAGCATTGCGCAAGCACTTATCCACAAATACAGGACCCAGGACATTGCAGAGACCATTGCCATTCTCTAAAGAGAACATTAGACAGGAAAGGTTACCCCTGGCTTCAAGCCCCCAGCTCAGTCAGCCCTACTGATGAGAGAGGGGAAGTCTCAGACGTCGTGTTCCTTTGCTACTTCGCTGGCTAGAATGAATGATCCAGCAGAGGTCATGCCATGAACTGGGATTAGGGGAAAGCCCTTTCCAGAAATTAAGTTTTTAAATTCTGCAAACCAAAACTCCAAGGATTGCCAAAGTAGAAAAACTAAGTTTTGGATGATCACTTAGGCAGTTTGAAATATTATTGCACACTGACTAAAAATTCAGTTTTATACAATGAACTCTAAACTAGGTATTCCAGGCACTGAAAAGCTGCAGACTCCTGTTCATTCTAACTTCATTGCAAGTCTGACATAAGCCTGGAAGGAGCGGGTTCTTCTTGTTTTGTTTTTTTGTTTTTTGTTTGTTTGTTTGTTTAATTCTACAGTCATGAATTTTTTATCTCAATGTTGTCTTCTAAACTAAGTAATCATTTCTCAGAGACATCTTGCAATCTCCTGAAAGAACAATCTTTTTTGGCTGGACTTAAAAATCAGAAGGAATTCTCTTCAGTCTAAACGAGTTTCGGGTGCAGGATCTAGGCTTCTATCCTGAAACAAGCCATAGTTTATAATATTGCTTTGCCTCCTAAGACTCCATCGTGGTATTTGTTGTACAGTGCTGATGAATATTCATGTACAGGTGGTGTAGTATTTATGGATGAACATATACCTTTTCTCAGGCACTGAAACTTTGACAGTCTTATCTGCACCTATGAGGATCGTAGGAGTTACAAAGGCTCAACTGCGCTACATATTGTCCAATTTCGCACATAACACCTTATGCTGCATTTCATAGTGCCAAATTAATCAAACTTGAAGCATTGTCCTTACTCAGCCAGTGATAGGAAACATTTTCTATACAAGAATCCAGTCAACTAGATGCCTTTCTTTTAAGTAGAGAGAGCTTTGAAAGCAAGATTGTTTCTTTCTTTTCCTTCTACTGTCAAATCATACCCATCAGGAATTTCAGCTATTCATTGAAAACCTGCTAGTGACCTACCAGCATGACTTTTTTATTCATAGAAATTGTTACTCTTTCAAAAACTGTGATGTTCAGAAAGCAAAAAGAATACACACACACACATATACATACATACACACGCGCACGCACACACACACATACTACAGCTAATTCGTGATTTTAGGAGGCGATGTAGTCTTTGAGAAGGGTTTTAGGACCAATTATAGACAGAGGGTGACAACTATAATTAAGGACAATGTAGGAAAACATTATTTTTAGCAGCAGGGTGCCATTCACGCCTCAGTCTGTAATTCAGAGAGATCACTCACTTTCTAATTAGTTTCACTGCCCACTATTTACTTTTGTATACAACATGCTTTGCCTCCTTGTGGGGTAACATAGATAGATGTATTCGCTTCAGTACAGATTAATAGCAACACCCTCCTGTGAATCCTAAAATGAATGCATTTGGGGGCCTTTTCAGAAGACAGCAAATTATAAAAAGACAAAACAGAGGTGGCTGTGACATGCATTTACTGCTTGTGAATCACAGTTAAAATGCACTAGGAATGAATCTACACTTGAAAAAAATCCTACCACAATCAAAACTTAACAGTTCCTCAATGACTCTGCTTTCTCTTGCTCATTTCTTCACCCCATAGACCTTTAGCACTTAAAAAGATTACTGTGACTTAATGGATTGCAATATTTGCCTTGCCTTTCTTTTTTCATTTAACTTTCTTTAATTCTCAGCCATACTTCCAAGTCTCCTGCATACTGCTCTCACTGCTCATTCTCTCATTAAAAGGTTGTCTCAGTGTTAATAAGTGTTTCCCCCCACCCCAAATAATGCATCCAGCCTTGCACAGTTCTTTACATAAAACTGAATAGGTTTCAGATCTCCTTTCTGAATCTTAAATCCTGAAAGAGGCATCTTACCTGAAAAATCCAGCCAAGAGCAGAGTACTCTATTAGTGTTCATTGGAAAGATCTAACACTCTTTAAAATCCATCTGTGCCACAATTTGAAATGTTTTTTTAAAAAATGAGCTTCTCAACAATCTTCTTTATCAGGAGTAAAAAAAAAATATGTTCTCTGGTCCGATCCTACCTCCACAGTAAAGAAGACATCAGGCTCATTCAGACTGTATTGTCAGAAAAGGAGCCAAGGTTTGAGGGGTGGAAACCTTGTCATTTTCACCTTTAAATCATTTCCTGGCGTCACCTCTGCCTGACGAGACCTTTGAAGTGATGGTGAGATAATGTACAGTTTCCTGATGAGAATCAGTTTATAGTTACCGACGGACCATTCCCACTCCAGTGCATTCAGAGCAGAGTAAGGCAGTGAAATGTAAGAGCAGAGCTGCTTGCTATACGGTGCTGGAAGTAGCAGTAGTCTGTTTCAATACATCCCTCCTCTCTAAAGTATCACATGTCTTAAAGTGACATTACCCTCTATTACAGCTACAGTGAATTATAATACCTGCCCCCTAACTCTTCAGCAACTCAGGCAGTGCTTTAACATGAAATTGCCTGATATTTAATGAGAGAATTTTTCCTTATAATACTCATTTGCCAAGAGAGTAAAGAGGGAAAAAGAATCCAAAGGGAGAAAAAACATTCTGCAAAATATTGATAGTGCTAATGGGTGTTAGACTCCAAACAGTAAATGGGAAAGTGAAATAGAAGCCATTTCTTGCTTCTTAATGTTCTTTTAGCCAGTGAGTTAACCAAAAATATCGCCAGGTTTATACAAATTTAAGTCTGTCAGTTGTTTTGGCAGCTAAAACTAGGAATTTAATATACCTGGGATAAAATGCACATGTTTATATGCATGAGCCCAATAAAAATCTTCTGAGCTTTATGAGCATGTTTAATAAGTAAAAGTATGTCGTCTTCAGCATTAAAGACTGGGTTTTAACAAAAATATGTTCAAGATTCATTTCAAAACAAAACAAAACAAAACAAAACAAAAACCTTCTTTCTCTTTTTTAAATAACATGCAGCAGTGGAAAGATAGAACACTCCGAAGTTGAACATCTTTTATTTTTCTAAAGTTTATCTGTTCCTTCCATGAGAAAGAGGGAATAGGGTCTTCACACTTTGACCCATGCTCAGCCAGATCCATATCCAGCCTCAGTTAACCTAGATTACAGATCATGGGCAATGCATGCCTCGCATTTGGGGGGGCTAGCAGGTGGCATGGTGGTTAAGGATGCTGGACTCCCACACGGCCATCTGTGGTTCAAGTCCCAGACCTAGTGACTTGCTTTATTACTTTTTTTCTCTCTCTCTCTCTTACTCTGTTCCTCTCTGGTCAAATTAAAATAAATAAATGGATAAATAAGGGTAAATAAAATAATTATTGAGAAAAAGAAGTTCAACTTTTGATTTCTTTCTTTCTTTCTTTCTTTCTTTCTTTCTTTCTTTCTTTCTTTCTTTCTTTTTTTTTGGTGGGGGGGTATAGGGCACATGTGCTCTCCAGACAGACAGAGAGAGAAAGATAGAAAGTGAGAAATCACCTCCCAGGGGGGATGGCCATGCTGCAGTCCCTTCTTCTCATTCTCCTCTCAGGATCTTGGGCACACACGCACACGCACCTGGCGCTAGTTTAAACTGCCAGGTCCAGGACTCGAACCATAGTTGACTACATGGGAGTCCAGTGACATAGCCATTATGTTAACTGCTGGTCCCCAACTTTTGGTTTCTAATACTATGGTTTGAACTCTTCTTCTTCAGAAATATGGTGTGATTGCAACTCCACCTCAATGAAATAGGAAAAGTAACCTAGTTATCATTTATAGATTGCACTAGAAATAACTCTCTGAAATATTCATTGATCTTATCAATCACTTATAAAGTACCTACTATGTGTTAGATGCTTGAATACAAGCCAGAAAATAAGATCAATGTGATCCCCACCATCATCTATCATTCTGTATAGTCTTTGGTATTGTTTTCAGAAATTAGGTAGTTCTCATAATTTTTTCCTAAAAAAATCTGTTAAAATTCCTCACAGGGCTCTCTTGTCTTTTGCAGGCATTATCAAGAAGGCTCCCTGCTGTAGGGCATTTAGGAAGCCATTCTGGTTTCTCCTCATTTTACAGAATAAGAGACTGAGAGATCATTTAGACTCTTTCATCTTTCCCTCTAGTCTTTCACATTGCACGAAAGATACACAATAGGTCTTTATAACATAATTGTTTAATAAATTTACTGCTGAAGAAATTTCAAAATAAAAGTAAATATTAATCTTACAGTTAAAAGTAAGTTGAAAACAGTTCCTGCTGGTATTACCTGCTTTATTTCTGTGGTTCATGGTTGCTGTGTTAGTGAGTATGTATAGAACATCTACACTGACTGTGTAGTATCAAGACTAACAGGCAATGATGATCAAATTTTCCCTATGCACTAACACTATTTTACAGTAGGCCTTGTAAAATATACTTTAAATCCTTTTCACTAATCTCCATAATTGCTATTATTATCATTAGATCGTTGGGAAAATCATGACTATTTTTCTATGAAAATGCATCATGACTTTTCTGACCACCTAGTATGTCTACTTCACAGATGGGGGATGTGAAGGAAGACAGAAACATTAAAGGACTTGCACAAGATAATACAAGAGGTCTTCGAAAAGTTCATGGGAAATGTATATTGTAAGAAAAGTATGCATGAATTTTCTTTTCCACCAAAACTTGTACTTTAATTTTATTTTTTCTACCAGCTTTTGAAGCTCTCTCATATAGGTACTAAGTGATATAGCAGGTTTCAAACTCAAATGACCTAGCTCAAGAGTCTCTCTCTCTCTTTCTCTCTCTCTCTGTAAATGTCAGAAGTCACATATGCACATATGAGAGAGATAAAAAAAAGCACCCCTATTGACAACTGGTTAAACCATAATCCCTTTTCCTCCAATTCTCCCCTACCAAGGACCTAAGCATGTATGTATGCCTGATATGAACCTAGTGGGGCTGGGGATTCAAACCCTAGTCAGTCATGTGGCAACTGGCTTCCTTTGTATAGCGCTAACTGCCATGCTCAAGACCAGCCCAAGAGCCCATCTCTTAAGCACTTGCATAAAGTATTTCACAGAAAAAAAAGATAAAAAATTAACCACTATATTTCCTAATTTCTTTAACATTATGTCAGTCTCAAAAAATTACTATTCATTCAATCTAGAGGCTATTGTGTCAGGCATTTGAAATGTAGAAGCATGTAAGATACTCTTTGCCCCATGATTGTTTTTGTCTGCTTTTGTTATGCTAATGAATTAAAATTAAAAGGAGGTTCACATTGGTAATAAAGGCTAACATTTTAAAAAACTGTAACTATTAGGTTTTCTATTTCTAGGGATTAAATTAGTAGTCAATATAGGTAGTCACCACAATTCAATTTAATAAACTTGAAGTATGGCTTAATAGATATATTCAAGTCACTCAATAGGCATTGTTGAACATTTTAGAAAAGACTGGGAAAGGGGCCAATAGGTAGCACAGTAGTTAAGGTGCTAGACTCCCACGTGGCTTACTGCAGTTGAGTCCCAGGTCCCGTGGCTTGGGTGTGCATGCCTAAAATCCCAGGAGGAAAATGGAGAAAGGACTGCAATGTGGCCATCCCCCTAGAGAGGAGGGGGTAGATTTCTCACTGCCTTTCTCTGTCTTTCTCCAATGAGTGTATGAACCCTATGGCAAAAACAACCAAACAAACAAAAAAGATGGAAAGACTTACATTAAGTGACATTCTATAAACATGTGTAATGAAACAAGAATATCAACACTATTTCCATTTTGCCTTCCAAATACCTTGCCACTCATTGCACTGATAATTAATTGTCCTAATAATATAAGCATCAACATATCCTTAAAGCCATCTAGTCTATTCCTTCAATTCAAAGAAAAAGTGCTCTCTCACCTTTCGGAGAAGCTGGGCCTTTCTGCTTCTGACCATGGCAGGATGGCACTTCTAAATCTCTACTATCAAGTGGGTCATACAGTTCTGAACAATGAGATATCAAGAGAACTGGTGGCGTTGATTCAAAGCCATAGCTAAAGCAACTACAATAATCTTTTGCTGAAGTGACAAGCTCCAGATCTTTCTTTGCCTCTGAGTAACAACCAACAGCATTATCAGCCTGGATCCTTGAGCAACTACAATGAGCAGAGGCCCTCCTCTTCTCTCCCCAAGTCATGATTTATGTGCATTATAAGTAAGAAATTCTACTGTTTCAAAGCAATTGAGGCTTGTGAGTTATTTATTATTGCAGCATAACCTTGTTTACCCTAGTTTAGAATTTAACCTGTATTATTCATTTATTAGTCAAATGTTTACATGCCATACACAGTGGTAGGCTATGAGGAAGTACCATTTCTTCCTCATCAAAATTCGTGCCTTCACAGAGCCCACTGCAATAGAAATCTGCCTGAAGTTTTTGATCCAAATCATTGGTTACAGCTGGAACCCCTTAAGGTTCTTGTCACTCATGTGGCCCTTGCATATTGTACCCTCTTGTTGTACCAGGACAGTGTATGAATGGCAAAGGATGACAACACCACTGTGTTTCATGAATTTAAGAACTGACATCAAATATCTGGGTATTTAAATCATGCCACAGACCAACCTTTTAAAGATACACATTTCACATACACTATGTGGAAATTTGTGTATGGAAAAAAAAAAGAGCAGCCTATTTACCAGAACTCCTCTTATGGGGAAACCCACATTTAGTCTAAACAAAGGCCCCATGAAGGTAATGAGGGGTGAAAGTTGGAACAGTCAGAATGCATAAACATATAAAAGTATCCAGCAAACTGCCCTGCATAATAAAAGGTAGGAATATGGAAGAATGGAAGGTAGAGGGATAGGGTGGATACCTGAAGGGAGAAAAAAATAATGGTGAGGAACAGAAAGTCTGAGGTAGAGAGAAACATACTAGAGACTGGGGAAGAGAAGGACATAAAAGAGCAGAAATGTTCACTAGGGATTTCTTGGTGGAAAACACCTGTAGTTGCAGAGTATGACTGTCTCTCTAAATGAGTACTCCAGAAACCTACTGAAGGCACTGAGTCCTACCTGACAGCCACAAGCACCACCGTGCACTTATTCAAGGATGGAAAATCCCTCATTGCCCTGATTACCACACTTCCCACCCATCTCTTGTCATTAGACATGAAAGTTGTCTTTATTTCAGTTTAAGAACAAGGCACTTAATAATTTACCTCATTTTAATTCACAAATGTTCAGAAAAAAACCTGAGATATACAAAATTTAATGTCTATCCATATTTCTGAATTGAAAAACTAAAGAAATTTAAATAAATTACATCTGGACTAAGAAACATGCCAAGTTTCAGTCCAGTGCTAATTAAAGTGGCTTAGATGTACACATTTAAATCAGTTCTAAG